ATTTGCATATACTGCCAGGGTGCTATTGATACTATGGGTCTCATGTCTACTTTTTCTTTGATGCTGGTGTTTATAATACAAGCAGCATACTGATTGACATATGTCTTTACTTCTTCCTGAGTGATTCCAATATGCTTTTCTGAAATTGCAGAAAAAGTTTTATGATACTCACGGTGGTTGGCTTGATTATAAAAGCATAACAATATTTAGATTCACATCTCTACATTATACTTGGGGATCACATGGCGTTTTTTAAATACTACACCATCCTTTACAACCAGCTGAATATAAAGACAATCATTTTCGGCAACCACAAATTTCTTGCAGCGACAGATAAAATTAAACTTTTTTTTAGGGTCTTGTTGAGCATCATTTGGTATGGTCTTTAAGCAGTGATATTCAACAATTGCTTGATATTCTTCTGGGCTTTCTGTAATTTTTAGAATAGCAGGCATGTTTTTTTTTTTTTCTCTTTTTTTTTTTTTTTTTTTTTTTTTTTTAGATCTTACGGCAAGTGCGGTAGGCGGGTTGGTTTTTATCATTGAATTTCTATGTTAAGTGTAGGTTTTTTATATAGTATGCAGCTTTTTTTAAAAACTTTTGCCTTTCTTTCACTAGGTTTTGATGACAACATTGAATGCAGAAATCTTTTTTTGCTCAATTGTTGCGGTTCAAGAAAACAATGCAGATGTAGTACGTATTGTTATTCCATGTAGTATTTTGATAGCCTAACTACGTACATTACACAAGATCAGAATTTTTTGGAAGCCGACATAGATCATATGTTCGATATATCACGTGATTCCTAGCATCATCTAATTTCCAGCATCATCCTCCACAATAATTGGAGTTGGCAAGGAAAGATGAGTTAAAAATTTTTGTAGAAGTGTAAGATTTACTGAGTCATAGACCTTGCTCATATCTTGAGACAATAGCCAAATATCTTTGTGATTGCAAGTTGTATCTTCAATGAGATTATTGAATATATGAATGGAGATAGAGGTACTGTTGCTAGGTAGAGCAACATAATTAAAGGGAAATAAAATAAGGTGCTGTAAAAATATTGTATTAAGTCTGTTGGTGAGAATTTTTGTATAGATTTTGTGAGTGTGTTCTACAAGACTGATAGGTCTTGTAAAATTAAGATTACCATCGAAGGTGTTACACTTAGAAATAGGGTAAATTCTACTATGTTTCTATTGTTTAGATATTTGATCAGAGGTAAAACAATGATTAAATAATGCAGTAAGAGCTTGTATACAAGTTGGGCTAGAGTGTTTGAGCATCTCATAGCTAATGCCTATAGGGCCACAAGCTTTTCCATTAGATAAGTTTCTAATAGTGTTAAATACTTCTTCATCAGTTATAAAATTGGTAAGAGAACTATATCAATTAGGATTAATATATGTCCGTAGTGTATATTGTTAGTGTCAAAAATTTTGATAAAGAGCTTGGTCAATAGGTTTATATGAAGCCTGAATATGTTTTTTAATCAAATGAGGTTCTGTAATAAGCTGGTCAGACAGCTTAATATTAGAAAAATAGATAGGAGAATGATAACGATTAAGAATATTATTAATTGCTTGTGTAGGATGTGTAACAAGAGTACTGCATCTTTTTTCTGACACTTTTTAGATTTGTTGATGGAGAAGTAATGAGTTTTCTATATGGTATACATGGTAAAGCTGGTTTCAAATATCTTGTACATATAAGATCTATTCATCTAAGTATAAAGAATCTAGTGAAGAAATTAATTAAAGGTTGATTTTGTGTTTTAAGATTAATGAGTTGATTTGGTCATTGATAGAAACTGTACTATTTAAAGTTTTTCTCTTAACAATTTTAATTAAGTAATCAAGTTTTTTCAGTGATAGGTAAAGTAAAGTGCAATGTGAATAAATTGGTGATTATAACTGCGCTTATGACTAATTTTGTTAGAAATAGTTTGAGTTGCAGTATATATGATTAAGTGTTCGATTTTATGTCATATAGTTTCAAGACTATCTGAGATATTAATAATAAGAGGAGTTTGGTTTGATTGAAGTTGGGCTGATAAAAAGTCTAAGAATTCAGTCCATTTCTCTGTTATCATTGCTTTATAGTTGAAGATTTTTCAACTAATACCAGTATGCTGTCGTGAAGGTTTGCTATATGCATTTGGAAAAGTCCAAGAAGTAGACAAAATAGCATAATTACTAAGAGTACTTGTTTTGCTATCATCAAGATTATATGATAGAAAGAATTGAATATTGAATTGGTCTGTCCAGATATAGTTAATTCAGCTACTACTAGTATTATTTGACTATGTATAATGGGTATTGTTAAAGTGAGCACCAATATCAAACATGTTAGAACTATTTAAATAGTTAATAAGTTTATATTTAGCAGAAAAGCTAAATGTGATACCGTGAGTATTAAAATTGCCTAATATAATTGGGTAGAGATTTTGTTGTAATGCTGTTTGGATCCATTTAATAACAGTATCTTGAGTAATATTTTTTCTTGTTAAATCTGTAGATGAAAGATAGACAGATATAATATGAAGTTTGATATTACTTTTGAAAAAGAGATCAATAGTTACTGCTCCTTCTGAATGAGTTAGATAGCTATGTATATAAGGTTTAAGATAGTTGGGATCATAATGGCTATGCTTTCAGCTGAGTTATCAGAGTTGGCCCAGTTGTAGGTAAATAAATTATTGTTGCAAAAAAATAAATTGGTCTTATTTGCAATCTTGTTTTCAGTAATACTAGCAATTGTAATATTATTATGAAGACAGTAATTTTGCCAAGCTTCTTTTTAGTAGATGTATTAAATCCTCTAATATTATGAATTGCGATAGTAAGGTGCAGATGGTGATTGGAGTTAGATAAAGAGTGATCTAAAAAATTAGATGAATAAGAGTGTTCATTATCAAAAGTAGTGGAAAACTCAGATTGAAGGCTGTTAAGATTAGTAGATATTGAAAATAAGGTAGCTGAGCTTGGAATATTATCAGTAGAGTTATATAATAGTGAGAGTAAGTCTCTAGATAAAGATTCAAGTTCTTTATCAGAAGTTATAGGTGATGAAATTGAAGACATATTTGTGTATGATTTAAGAAGTATGTTGTATGTATCAATTATTAATGATAAAATGTGATTTGGCAGTAATTTAGTCTTATGTAGTAAATAAATATATACTTCTTTTCTGTCTTTAAATAGTGAGATAGCAGCAAATTTTTTAAGATGTAATACATGAATACTGAGATGAAAGTAAAAGAATTGTAGAGTTTGGGGTCCTTTAAGAAGAGAAAGTTTGTGATGTGATAAGTATTTGTTATAGCATACATCTAAATCATAGGAGTCTAAAGATGTTGAAGATGATTTGGACGAGTAGTTTTCTGCAGAATCGCTTGCCATTTTAAGCCCAGTTCTCATAGCCACAAAGGGTGCTAAAGTCTTATTTTCTGATTTGTATAAACTTCAGAAACAAGTTTATTTTAAGAAATATTATATACTACAATTAAGATTTAGAAGAAAATTTAAAAAATATAAATTCATCAATTTGTATAATTTATAAAAATTATATAATAAAATTTTGGATATAATAAATCATGCGACTAATATAAATTTCTTTAAAGAAATTTGTTTTTTTTAAAAAAAAATTTATATGAAGATTTCTTAAAAACCACCAGTCCAATTTTAATATTTTTCATTATTAAATGTATCTTGATAAGCTTTACAATTTTGTTAGAAGCCTAAAACTGATTTACTTAGTAAAAAAAAGTTTTAGATAGAGGTGCTGCACATTTGTACTTATAGTAAAATTTATATATAAAAAAATTTTTATCCAAGTATCTCACAAATTGCCTATTAAATAATTTTAAATAATTTAAATTTATTCTAATATATTCCAAATAATTTAAATATATTTAAATTAATTCAAATATATTCAAATTATTTTAAATTAATTACAATTTAATTTAATCTATTTGAATTAAAAAATATTTGAAAATTTTCATTTTATTTAGATTTATTTTTATAAAGTTTATTTATTTTAATATATTTAACTTTTTAGTATAATATTAATATTTTGATTGTTTAAAATTATTATATTGGGTGTGATAACTTAGTAAAGTGGTCAAGTTGTCACCTCTAAGTGGTATGTTTAGGATTCAAATCCTGTTGTAAGTGCTTTTTGAATTATAGCTACATCTTCCCTATTAGAGCTGTGTTATATACAGTGCTTATCAAAGTTAGGGCTCAGTTCTGTAACCTAGTATATACCAATTTAACTAAATTAAAAGGACTTATCATTTCTGTATAATGTTCTGTTAGTATATGTTAGATCACCTAGAGAAATTGAATTGCTGCACTTTTAATAAGTAGTGATTGTACTGCATATAGTCAATTCAAGATTCTATTTAAACTAAATGAATCTTTGACCTGTAATATTTTATGCAGAAATAAAGAAGCCCATTTAATTAATGAAGCAAAGCTTTTTATTTGGGATAAAGCTCCAATAGTCAATAAATCGCATTTGAAGCATTCAGCCAAACTTTTCATGATATTATTCAAGTAGTTAGACTGTTTGGAGAGAAGGTCTTCATTTTTGGAGAAGATTTTTACTAAATACTTCTAGTTATACCACATGCATCTTGTGCTGAAATTGTTGTTGCAAGCCTCTGTAAATCATTTTTATAGAAATATATTAAAGTAATAAAAGTATTAATTAATATAAGACTTCGACAAACTGATAATCATAATGAAAATCAAAGACAAAAATAATTTGTCTATTTCTTTTTAAAAATTGGAGTAGATAAATATCCAATTATTTTAGGCACTGAAAACACAATAAAACTCTCCTCAGACATAATGATATCTAGAGAAGAATTGCCAAATCTTATCAACACCATCTACTCCAATTTGGTTAAAAATTTTCATAATATAAATTATATTGTTAATAAAGCTATTTTAATATCAAAAAATGATAACATTAAGAATATATTGAGTTTGATAATGGATTGGTTTCTTGAAAAACTTCATATATATTCTAGCATAGATGATGTGAGTTTAATAGAAGATAGTAATGCAGAACAGTCTCAAATATATTCACCAGAATTCTTAAGATCTTTAAAAAGTTTTGACCTTCCACCTGGTGAATTAAAATTAAAAGTAGAAATATCTATCCTACTTCTATATAACTTGGACCTAGCACAAAGACTTTGCAATAGAACTAGACTAATTTGTTATAGGCTTTAAAGCAAAGTTATAGAAGCTAAGATAATCACAGAAATATATATTAAAAAACATGTTTTTATTCCTTAAATAACTTTATACCATCAGATACAAATTTACTATTTATTTTAAAACAGTAGCAGTTTTCAGTACATATTGCATTCTATATAACTATTAACAAATCACAGAGTTAAATATTTGCACAGATCAGTCTCTATCTACTACAATCAGTTTTTTCTGGTTCAGGTCACTTCATCGACAGTTCTTTTGTAGACATAACATTTTACTGACAACTATTCACCAACAATTATTTCATCGACAAGTTTATTTCACTGACAAGTTATTTCACTAACAGTTTATTTTACCGAAGCTCATTTCATTGACAAAATAATTCTGGTTATTATTGTTAAGGTCAGATTAAAATTAGAGTTAAAGTTGATGGAATTTATAAAAAAAAGCTTGTATTTGAAACCAGCTTCAGTAAAATAAACTGTTGATGAAATAACTTGTTGGTAAAATAAACTTGTTGGTGAAATAATTGTTGGTGAATAGTTGTCAGTGAAATGTTATATCTACAAAAGAACCGTGGTGAAGTGATATGTATCTGTTTTTTCATACAGCCAATTATATATTGCTCTATCAAGAGTAATTTCTTATCGAAGTATTTAAGTTCTTACCTCTAAAAACTCAAATATAAGCCAAGACTGTTAAACAAGAAACATTGTATATTATGAAGTTTTTGCCTAAATATATTTATATTTAAAAAGTAAAGTTTTCATAAATATTTTGCTTAAGTTTCTTGTTATTTTTTGATTTAACTATCTCTTATTTAATATAGTAACTATAATAGGTGAAAGATCAGATAACAATAAAAAAACTAAATTTTAATTTGTAGATGATCAATCAACTAATCATAACACATTCGTAATTAATTTCTTTTTTCAGCGAATCTAACATTTGTTTAATATATACATAAATATTACAATGTAATTACATATACTAAGACGAGAAAGTTTTTGGACAATTACTTATTAGAATTAATACCAAATACTTATAAAAATTGATATATTTTTAACTCACTCAAAATAAAAATGATCATTACTGTTAATGAGTTTAATAAAAAAATACTATCAATTAGTATTAGGATTAGTAATATGATAAGCGTAGGGCTTTAAAATAAGTAACTATACCAATCTTTCGCAAGAAATTTTTTTCACTAGAATGCAGTAGATAGTTTCATAAGTGAAATTTTAAAATAAAAGTGATTTTGTAAAAAATTGGTCTAATTTTAATATTACACACTGATCATTTGTATAATTTAATGTAATGGACACTAATTGGATAAAAAGCAGAATTTTCAAATCGGGCGGAGAACATAGATATACTTGTGCAGTAATAAGATTTTTAATTATTTGATCAATTAGACAGTTATTAACACATGATCAATATTAGTATCATTATGAACATAATTCTGAAGATATCATTTGCTATCTGAGTTTTAATTCAAATAAATATGATTACAAAATAATAATAATAAGATATAAATTATAAGGTAAATATGGAACTTACCTATCATTTCATAGATATGTATGTTTGTAAAATGATATAAGACCACCCAACATTTATCTAAAATTATAATTTGGCATCATATCTATAATTTACTTTAAAAAACTTGAATAACTAGCACTTACATATATAAAGAAATTTTTATTAATCAATCTAGTACCATCTATATTGTATACGTAGTCTAAATTCAGTCAGGTATTTTACGTGAAATAGAAATGATCTGCAATATACTAAAAGATTATGTATTTCAAAACCAATTTAATTTAAACAAAAAGCATCTTTATTATCTAAAAAAAATAGCAATTAGTTTTAAAAAAACTTTTGCAAAAGTTATTCTATAAATATGCAGTTTAAAAATTTTGGGATTCTCTAAGACTTTTGTATACCAAATAATAATATAGCTAATAATTAATACAGATTTCATATTATAGAATTAAAAAAAAATTTTTAATTAAAAATCTTTGAGCCAAAAGAAAAATAATTTGTTATATAAATTTAAAAATCTTTAACTAAAATTATCTAAAATATTATTAGGAAATTGATATTTCCACACCCTTTTTTGATATTGCTACACCCCTGTTAATAAAAATCAATATAAATTATTAGAGTTCGGTTAGGGTTTAGAGTTAGCAGGGTGTGGCAATATCAAAAAAGAATGTGGAAATATCAATTTTCTATTATTATTAAGTTTGCCTATATTATACTTTAATATTGGTTTAATATCAGTAAAAATTATATAAATAATACTAGCCAACTATTATCCTTTAAACTATTTAAAATTCAGTGCAAATTTGCACTAGAATTTTCTGAAAGTCACATGTATTACAAATATACAAAAAATAATGACATAAATAATACAAAATAGAATAAAAAAGTATAAAAATGATATTTTTTTGCTTTATTTATATTCATGGTAATTAAAAAAGCAATCTGTGCATTGCTTATTAATACATAAAAGAACATTACACACTGTACACCACAAATTACTCTATGGTGAATTGTCATCATGTTTTTTATGCTTGGTCATATATTGAAACTGACACCAAACACAAGACTCTCTCTTTTCACGATATACCAGATAATGGTTTTGTGGATGCAATCGTTCAACAGGTAATTCAAAACTTTTTGTAATATAAAATGGTCTTTTTTCTGAACTTTGATTGCATAATTCTGATTAAATCGTTGCACTTTTTCTTCGTGTATATGATTTTTGGTTCATTTCTAACAATTCTTCTACTAAACTCCACACTAAATTTATTCTAAAATCTTTGTGTAGTACGACCAAGTTGAGAGCTTTTGAAATAATGAAGGTATTAACAATACTAGTATTAAGAAGCCAAAAAAATAATAGCATCCAAGTGCGACGTACAGGTACTTGTGTATCATAATAACCTCTTAATTGGTCGGCTATATCTATACCGCCTATATGATAGTTGTAATCATCAATAACAACAGGTATAGGAAGAACTTTTTTACTTGCACCACCAAAAACACTACGTACTTAGTTAGCATTAGTACTAGTTGTTCGTAGTCGTCGCCTTTCTCTCTCTACTCGATGCTCATCACCTAAAATTTCATGTATGGTTGTTAACATAGTTATTGGACCATTGTTCATCCAGAACACAGCTAATATATCGTCTACGACTGCTCCAAAAAGAGTATCCCATTCTATTTTTTGTGACTTTTTGATTTTTAAAAAAGCAAGAAATTTTAAAGTATTGCTTCTTACTGTTTTGCAACTGCCAAACCCGTTTTTTCGTATATAACTAAACAAATTTATACTTGTAAAAAAATTATCCATGTAAATATCAAATGTTTTACCCTTAGGAAGTTGAGATATTAGATGATACACCTGCCAGCCGATCTTACTAATGTTTGGAATTGGATTAACTTCAGCATTAGGTTCGATACAGGAGGTAAAAATAAAACAATAGGTATAACCTGAATCGCACAAAGAAAGTATTTTATAGCCCTCTGGCGTGGGCTTATTTTTAATTCTTACTGTATAATCACTTCTTCCTCTAAACCTAGCAATCATTTCATCAATTGAAACTTGCGATTTTGGCAAATAAATCGACTTAGAAACGTCTCAAATATGTGTAGCTAAAGGTTCAACTTTCAAATGCCATGGTAATTGCGATGTTTTGGTTTCGATTCTTGAAATATGAAGGTAACGTTTTATCTTTTTTGTTAAAAAAAAAATCAAAAAAAAAATCAAAAAAAAAAATAAAGAATTAAATTAAACCCGATTAAATAAAAATTAAAATTAACAAAAATAAATGACATAACTTGTTCGAATCAAACTAATGTTATGTATTTAACGATTTTATGTTGCGAATATTTCCAATCCATTTTTCAATAGTCTTCCTTGCTCGGCAATTTAAAAACACCCATGTAAATAACTAAAGCTAACCATATTAATAATTCCTCTACCGTTAAAGGAACCCATTCATACCCTTTACCCACCGATTTTGCTATGGCATAGTAATTCGTATTTTTAACGATCATATTTAGCTGCAAATTCGAAAAAAATAAACGAAAAATTGTATGTGGTGTAATATCACCAATAGCTAATTTATCAAATAATTTTATCTGAGAAAAATGATATGGTTTTGTATGTTGAAGTTTTTGGAATAATGGCGGTGATGGTAAATTTAACAAATTCGAGGAATGGGATACATAATTTTTTTTTTGCTCGACTACTTTTATTATCTTTTTTTCTTTTGTTCTTGCTATTCGTGGCTTCATTTTCAATTTCTTTGTCAGTTTCATCTTCAAATTCATCATATTCATTTTCAGTATCAACGTCCGTAGGATCATCGATCTCAATGTCATCCTCAATTTTGGTAATAATTCTTGTAAACTCGAAGGTATATGAATCATTATCTTCATTGTCTTTACTCATATTTCTATCTGAAAATAAGAATGTATAAAAAAAAATATATATCTCTGTCAATAAATTATTAATAAAGGGTACGTATGTAAATCAATAAATTATTAATAAAGGGTATGTAAATTAAGTCTAATAAGGTAACATAGATGATGATCGAACCTGATGATCCTCATTTCTGTAATATTCCTGTGCAATCAAGAAATTTATTGAATTTCTAAATAAAGTAATATCAGGATTTTTATTTAAAATAGGTAAAACCTTAATTTATAAGGTAATACAAATACTACGTAAGCTACCAATCAAAATTCAAAATTTTAGTGCAAATTTGAATGAGAAACGGTTTAAAGAATAGTATCCAATATATTTTTAAAAATTAATAATAGTTTTAAGTATTGTAATAGCTAATTCAAACTAAATAATTATTTAATATTTTTCCTGTTGCATTGCAACGAGTTTATAGCTAGTAATTTATATATAATTTTTAACCAATCACAATTAATTATATGAAATTAGCCAATCAAAATTGATTATATAATTTTAAAATTTGGTCATTTTCAATAAAAAGATGTTGGTTTATGCTGTCCTATACTGTATGTTGTGGTTTAAAACTCAGAAATTTTACTATCTGTTTACCCATAATAAGTTAAACCAAAGGTATCTATATTTAACAATAAAATTTCTTCATTTAGAGTGTTTTTAGTAGAAAATCTTTTCTAATCATTTTCAATCACTTTTCCTACAGAGTTTTCATAAGAATAAAGATAAATATTTGGTAATTGGTAGAGTTTATTTCTACTATGTTTAAATTATTAAATGAATCTTAGATTTATAAATATTAAATCATGAGTGTTATACTAATATAAGAATTTATGCATTTATTAAATAGTCCAAGCAATATAAAGCTTTTAACAAAGTTTATTTACTTTTTTTTTTTTTATGTTAAGGTGACTACTTTGGGGTTTGGCATGTTTTATTAACTTTGAATCGAATGCCAAGGCAGCCACAGGGCTACCCCTGACTTTGTTATATTAACAAGGATATATACTAGTCATATATACAACTTTTGGTTGTTTATTTAAGCAGTCTTGCATATGTAAACTATATGAACTACACTAGATGTCATATCTGTAACCCACTATTACTTGAGTTACTCAATTAAACCCTCTGATTAACTAGCACTGTCGGGATATTCTTCCCAAAGAGGAACTGCCACTAAGATCCCTTAGGACTACTTTATCTTCGTGATAAATCTACTAGAGCGTAGTGATCCTGGTCAATGATTAAAAAAATTGATCAAGCTGATTTTTCGACCCAGCTGGTCGATTTTTTGCAAAATTGGCTGGTCGATTTTGTAAGGAGATAGCTTCCTCAAATTGTGCACTACCAGTATTTCTTACATCAATTAGTTAGTATTATATTATATCTGCCTGAAAAACTTTACTTATATCTTACAGTTCTTGGTAGCTCAACAGCCAATTTTTTAGCAACAATCATAATATTAATATT